GAGGCTTGCTCATGGGCTGCTATAGGGTAGCAAGTTCCCCAGGCTCAGTGTTACACTCCTGTAACACAACCCACTGTGTGCAGGCGTCCATCTAGGCTCCCCTGCTTTGTGCCTGTGGGACTTGGGGCCGTGGAGAACTGACAGAAACACGAAGTTCAAGCTTCTCGGTATTCCATGAGTAAAGTCGTTTGTTCTTGACTGGAAATCTCATGTCTTCTGCCAGCTTCCATGAAACAATAATAGGTTTGCTCACTAGCTTGCACATAGGGCAGGATCTCAGTCCCTTCAGAAACCTCGACAGTGCATACTGTAACAAGTATTTTTTTTTTTTTTTAAGATCCGTGAGAGAATAGTCTTAGTTTCTATCTCCCAAACTGACTTATTTGAAAAAGCTCCTCTACCATCAAACACGTTGAGCAAGTATGGACCACAGCCACTCCTTCCGTTAGCACCAGGGGTTCCAGGCTCTTTCTAGAGTGGAGACAGAAATTGGCTTTCTCTCCTTCATGCATGTGCCATACTCTCTCTCAAAGTTTTCACAGAGGAGGCTTACACCTTCCCTTATAACAGGGAAAGATTCTGGGGATCCAAGTCAGGATCAGGAATTTCTCAAACTTCCCTGAGCAGAGCTTAGTCTAACTGAACAAGAGACTAGATTTACTTTCTTTGTATTCCAAATATAATGATTTTTGCCCTTAGCTCTCTGTAGATAATGTTAATGGCACTCCCTCATGGGCCTGAAGGGAATAAATCCCTTGCATTTTGTACCAGCTTTGTTACCCATTTATTTCCCAACACTTCCAGGCATGCTTCCCCTGGTTCCAGTCAGTCAGTCTCATACTTTGTAAACTTCAGTTTCCCTCCAATCCCCCATTTTGTGCAGTGTGGGACCAAGGCCCCCTTTGCTCTGCTTTTGCTGATTTCCTTTCCCCTGTGTGTTTAGGAAAAAATCTAATAGATATGCCTTCAAGAAACTATCAGGAGACCCATAAAAAAGCCAATCACAACACAGTGTGACGAGATGGGGACTGAGATAGCACATGAAGGGAAGGTTGTCCGTATGAGTTGGTATTGAACCTAGTCTTAAAGAATATATATATTTCTCTTAGAAGCAAGCACTAGAGAAGCTGAAAGAATCTTTCTCTACAAAACACCTATATTAGTCGTGGAAGAGCCATCCTTTTCAATGCATAGCCGAGTTCACAAAAGTCCTGATGGAAAGACTAGGGAACAAAAACAAAAAAAAGAAAGAAGTAGGAGCATATGCTGTGGTTAACCTGGGAGGCCTTCACATATTAGAAATTGTGGTGGACACACCCTAAAGTGACCCCTCATGAGTCACTCTCTTGTATAATCCTCTCCTCTTGAGTACAAGCAGAACTTGTGACTTGTTTCTAGCCAATGGAATATGGCAAATGTGATAGGATAGTCACTCCCATTATCACATTACTTTATAAAATACTCCATCTTAACAGACAGGTGTGATCAAGTCTGCTGCTGGCCTTGAAAAAGTAAGTTGCCATGTCGTAAGAAGACCTGGAAGAGGTCCACGTGGGAAGGAGCCTAGAGCAGCCTCTAGGAGCTGACAGCAGTCCCTAGGTGACAGCCAGCAAGAAAACAGGGCCCTCAATCCTATAAATGCAGGCAACCGAATTCTGTCAACCACAAGAGCTTGAAAGAGGACCCTGAACTCCAGAAAGGAACACAGCCCAGCTGGTACCCTGATGGGCAGCCTTGTGAGACCCTGAGCAGAGAAGCCTGTTAAGCCATGTACAGACTCCTGACCCATGAAAACTGTGACATATGAATGTATGTTTTTATAAACTGCTTGGTTTGTGGTAATTTGTTATGTAGCAATAACTAAAACAGGAATGAAAGAGTTTACATTTTAATGTCTGTAATGTGATAGGTTATGAGTCTCAGGAATGAGTGATTCAGAGAATTGGAATTAAGAGCTCTGCATAGGGGCCGGCCCCGTGGTGTAGCAGTTAAGTGCTCGCGCTCTGCTGCTGTTGGCCCGGGTTAGGATCCCCAGCGTGCAGTGATGCACCGCTTGTCAGGCCATGCTGTGGTGGTGTCCCATATAAAGTGGAGGAAGATGGGCACAGATGTTGGCCCAGGGCCAGTCTTCCTCAGCAAAAAGAGGATTGGCATGGATGTTAGCTCAGGGCTGATCTTCCTCACAAAAAAAAAAGGAGCTCTGCATAAAGCTAGATGCTAAGATGGAAAAAAAACTTCTTTCCCTAGTATTTATACATTTATTTATAAATTATAAGTATTAGTATTTATACTAATTTATAGGTATATAGTTTTTATAAATTAAGAATCTTCCTTGGGTTTTAGGTATGAGTTTATTTTAGCTGCAAGATATAGAAATATCAAACCAGGAATCAACAAATAAAACTTCCCAACTGGCGCAAAACATAGGGTACGAGGCAGGGGGAAAAAATCACTTCAGTTTAAGCTATTCCTCTGAGATTTTCAACAGGGAAAACCTCACTTATCTTGAGCTCAGTCCAAAATTAGAAAACATTCAAGAAAACAGTCCACTATGAATAAATTTCAGTGGATGCAATAAACTGCAGAATTCACACTCTTCCTCCCATCAGAAAGTGTAAATACTGTTTGGAGATTATACTGCAACTATTGTTGAAACAATAACTGACAATTGATATAAAAAACATGGGGAAAGAAAATACTATTAAAAACACCAGACAGGTTTGAAAAAGACAAGATAGACCTTAAAGCAGTTAACTGTTTGACACAGCTGAAAAGAAAATGAGTAACAATTAGATTAGAGGAAATTAAAGAGAAGGTAACTTGGATAGAGAAATTACGAGAGGCCAGGAGGCAATGTCATTGAATGAGAAGTGCCAACCTACATGAAATCAGATTTCTAGAAGGAAGCAAAAGAGTGAATGAGGGAGAGGAAACAAGCAAAATGTTAACATTTGAGAATTTTCCAGTATTGAAGAAAGATGAATCCTCGGCTGGAACAATGAAAATCAATTATTACCAAACATTTAAAGAAGGACTAATTGTAATCCTTCTCCAACTCTTCCAAAGAATAGAAGAGGAGGGAACACTTCCAAACTCATTTTACAAGGCCAGCATTACCCTGATACCAAAACCAGACAAGGCCACTATAAGAAAAGAAAATTACAGACCAATATCCCTGATGATCACAGATACAAAAATCCTCAAACAAAATATTAGCAAACGAATACAAAATACATTAAAAATATTATACTCCATGATCAAGGGGGATTTATTCCAGGGATGCAAGGATGATTCAACATCTGCAAATCCATCAATGTAATACACCATTTTAACAAAATGAAGAATAAAAATATGATAATCTCAATAGATGCAGAAAAAACATTTGACAAAATTCAATATCCATTCATGATAAAAACTCAAGAAAGTGGGTGTAGAGGGAACATATCTCAACATAATAAAAGCCATATATAATGAGCCCACAGCTAACATCATACTCATGATGAAAGACTGAAAGCTTTTCCTGTAAGATCAGGAACAAGACTAGGATGCCCACTCTTGCCACTTTTATTCAACATAGTACTGGGAGTCTTAGCCAGAGCAATTAAGCAAGAAAAAGAAATAAAAGGCATCCAAATTGGAAAAGAAGAAGTAAAACTTTCTCTCTTTGCAGATGACATGATATCATAGAGAAAAAACCCTAAAGCCTCCAAAAAAAATCTGTTGGAATAAACAAATGCAGTAAAGTTGCAGGATAGAAAATCAATATACCAAAATCTGTTGGACTCCAGACCTCTCCCCTGAGATCTGACTCCTGCTCCAGGGTTTCTTCCCAGTACTCCCAAACTTGTGATCTCCTGGGCTCCCAAGCTTTCCCTTAGAATCTGTCACCTCTCTCAGGACTCTGATTTCTTATGCCCAGGATCTTCCCTTGGGCTTCCAAGCATCTCCTTCATGCCCCAGCTCCTCCCTTGCTCTTGCAGGCTCTCTTCTTGAGCTCTGTCCCCTCTCCTAAGGTACCTCCAAACTTCCTTGAGGTCCCAGGCCCCTCCTCTAGCCTTCAGTTCCTCTCCTATATTCCCAGTACACTAAAATGGGCATAGCCAGAATCTCATTTGAGCCTCACAGTGAACCCCATTTTGCACATGATAAAACTGAAGCTTAGCAAGGTGAAATCACTGGCTCACGATTACAAGTTGAAAGGCAGGGATTCAAATGCTGCTTTGAATCTAGAACCCACATTGTCATCCACACACTGTCTCCCATTAAATTAGCTATCCATTAGAGAGAGAGAGAGAGGACTATATTCTAGGAACTGTGTTAAGCATTTCACTAACGTAGGCATTATTATCACCATTTTACTTTGAGGAAACCAAAAACTAAGATTAAAGAGCTAACAAATGGTGGAGCAAGGACTGTAATGAGATTTCTTCTGAATTCAAGGTTGGCATTCTTAACCATTACTTCACTATATCTCCATTATGTAGATGAGAACACTGAGGCTTAGAGATGTTGAGGAACTTAAGTCAAGATCAAAGTTTACAAAGGGGCAAAATTATGGGTCTCCTCTGCTTCCTCTCATAGTAATGCTAAATAAACGCCCACCTGTGCCAGACAGTCTCCCTCCAAGATCCTCTGAGGGAAGGAAATAGTAGCCAAAGAGTTTGAGTGCCAGGACAGACTTTTCTATCAAAAGGTGACCAAGTACTGGCCCCTGCCCTCCAAAGGATGAGGCCACTGACTGAAAAAATTGTCCCTCTTGGAACAAAGGTTATCTGTTTTCTCTGGCTACTTTCCAGGGGATTCTAGGCTTGGAGGAAGAGGAAAAAGCCAGAATATTTGTTACTCATTTTATTCAGTAGATAGTAGCAGGTTTCTGAAGCTGAATGAAGACGAGTCCTTGTCAAGCCCCACCTTGAAGTGGGGAACAAGTAAGCAGGCTTAAAACCTGTGGCCCAGGCTCATTTTCCAATAAGACCCCAAAGTCCTCATATTAAGCCAAATCAGAGAGGAGGAGTAGGGATGTTGGGCAGCCTCTCGATAAGGTAAGGATTGACTTGCGGTAGGCTTTTCCAGGCAAGTTCTAGGAACCCATACTGGGCGATGCCCACAGGCTGGATAGTATGCACCTTGTTCTGCCCAGGCAGGGGTACAACATCCTGGAACTTGAGGCGACCTGCAGGGGCATGGGAATCACCACAAAACAGGCCACAGAATAACCGCTCACCAAGTACCAGCTCCTTGGTTTTCAGGGCCTTTTTGTAGATGGTCTCTTGGGGTTGGAGTTCCTTTCTCTGCAGCAACTCTAGTAGCAGCTTCTGGATTCGGGGCGACTTAAGTTGGTACAGGTCCATGAGGTGGTAGAACTGTTCCATCCAAGCAGCACTGTCTTTTGCATATCGCTCCTGTAATATCCGCAAAACATGGTACAGTGCCACAAATGTCTCCCATTGGGGCACCTCTTCCTTTTTTTTAGAGATGGGCTGTGCCTTCTTCTCCAACTGGGGCAACTTGAGGGGCCTGCCTTTACCCTTAAAAGCCCTGAGATCCTTCTGGAACACCAGTGCTAGAGTTTGTTTGTCCACAGAGGCATGGGCACCTGTGAAAATGTCTCTTGTGTCAGGATAAAAGTGTTGCGTTCTCATGTCTTTGAGAGCATTGGATATCTGCTGTGCCCGCGCACTCCTGTGAGGCTCTCCTAAAAGATGCCAATTTATAGCCTTTGGGACTTGAATCCTCTTGGTGGTTGATAGTAACACTGGTACAGGGGTGGGCAGTGCTTTCTTCTTTGCCTTGTGAAATTTGGGGAGCTCACCCCTCCCCTTCAAGGTCCAGAAGCCCTTCTGGAACATCAGAGGCAGGGATTTTTTATCCACAGAGGGATGGACAGCTGTAGGAACATCCTTTCTGATTGGGTACAGCTGCTTTATCTCCTTGACAGCAGTGGATAACTGTTGTGCCTGCTTGTTCCTGTAGGACTCAGCTAAGAGATGCCATTTGAGAGCTTGGGGGGTTTGAGTCCTCTTGGTAGTGGATGGGAACACTGGTTCAGGGATAGGGAATGGCTCTAGCCAGCTCCCTTCTTCTTTTCTTCCAATTGGAGGGATCACTTTTAAGTGCACTGGACTCAAAACATCCTTATAGGTTTGTGATATATCTGTGTGACTTACCTCTAGGTTCTGCCTGAGGTGTTTAGCAATGGCTTTAAGATTGGACAGATTCATCCCTTTCAAGTATCCCTTTGAAGTGAAGTGTCTAAGGAGCTGGCTCAGTCTATGGAAACTGTCCCTGGAAAGTTGTTCTCCTGCTTCCAGCCTTATTAAGGCATTATTAATCCAGTCCTCATCTGAGACGCTTGCTTCTGAGTAGCATGGACTTTTGGCCGGCATAGAGGTAAGGGATGGGGATGGGGCTGGGGCTGGGGCTTGGTCCTCAATTTTCCCCATCAGAGAATCCTGATATGTCAAGAACCACTTCCCCCTGCCACCTCTGGGCCTGTGTTCAAGTTTTTGTGGTTTCATGGTATCAGGTAAGTGGGACTCTGGCCTGTGGAGGCCTTCCGGGAACTGAGTCTCTAAGTCTGTTTCCATGACTTGTGAAAACACACCCCTGGCTTTCTCCAAGAGCATAGCCTCCTGTCTTCCCCATGAACTTGTCATGGGGCGTGCCCCAAGAAGTTGACTTTCCTGTCCTTCCAAATCCAGATGATCCCCTAACACTTTCAGGGGCATTCCCTCTTTTTTTCCCAGGGCTACTGGGAGTGGTATTTTGAAGGGGCTCTTCAGAACTGTTGACCACACAGCCTTATCCATAAGTGTGGGATCTCTCTTTCCATCAAGCAATCTCTCTTTCTTAAAAGGTATTTCCCTTCTAACTGTACCCTCCTTTTCCTCAGCAAGAACCTCACCTTCTATCACTAGCTTCCGTAAACTCACTTCTTCCTTTGAGAGCTCTGTTTTCAGTACTCTCTCCTCTTCTGAGAGCATTGCCTCCATAAGTCTGCCCTCCTTTTTCTCATCTTCACTCAAGCTCTCCTCCTCCTCCTCCTTACTCAGGCTCTCCTCCTCCTCCTCACTCAGACTCTCCTCCTCCTCCTCACGCAGACTCTCCTCCTCCTCCTCACTCAGGCTCT